CCCCAAAACCCCAAAACCCCGTTTTTTGTATTTATCAAAAAGAAAGTTAGTCAAAAAATATAAATAATAAAGTAATGGGAGCTAATTGGACTTCACCGAGTTTAATTGATCTTATCGATTCTTATACTTTCCTCGATGGTCACAACAATATTCCAGATTTGCTATCTAATTTTGATAACTACAGCTAGTTAGAGGAATATATTCAAGAATCATTTAGCATTTTCAAGTAAGTAAATTGTCCAAATTCTCTTGAATTCAGATTTTTACTTTAAACATTTTAGTCAGAATATCGTTGACCTTAATGAGAAATTTGGAATCAGTGAGATAAATGTAGTGACTGTGATGAATTCATAAAATAAACTTTCTAAAGTGTTAAAACAAAGATTCTTCAAGAAGTTCCTGAAGCATATTGAAATATGCATCACATTTGTAAGCTTTACTAAGTGAAGATTGATAAATTAGTAGTATAAGTAAAACTAAGAAGATTATATGAAGATTAAAGCGATTCCTTTTCATAAGTATTTGCTAATAGTGGAAGAATTCAAGAGATATCTCAATAACAAGCCTTATTAATAAATGGATGAGGCTTTGGGATAAAATTATTTTGATAAGCTATAAGACAAGCAAAAATATGGAATAAGCTAATCTATTATTATACAAGAAGAATCAAAATCAACATTTTTAGGAGACAATTCTTCAAAGGCTATATTAACAGATCGCATGGATTCTTCCATAATATCTGAGGCTGAATAAGAATTTCTATGTGAACAAAGAAAGCACGATTTAAAATCAATTAGCAGGTATATAGAAGATGAAGAAAGAGACCTCTGCCCTATTTGTGACGATAAAGATAGCGATATTTTACTGGTTTGCATGCATGTGTTTTGTGAATAGTGCATTACTGATTGGTATTTAAGGAATGGATCATGCCCTATGTGCAGAATTGAAGCAGGTCTTGACAACTATCTAATGGTCAAGCCTGTTGAGATGAGTCTGCTGAGAACTGTCTTGAAAGATTGAAATTAAAATTAAAATTTCAAGCATCTGCATTTGCAGGAGAGGTCAGAAATTATGAGATTGAAAATTAAACTGAGTGATTCTTATAACATTATAGATATAGAAAATTAATTAATTATAAGCATAATTATATCTTCTATAGAGAACTTGAATCAGTTAGCACCTGCGCACTCAAATTTAAACTCACAGTTTCTAATTTCTGTACCTTCTCTGTTAGTGGCTGTGGCATAAATATGAGTAGCACCAAACAGCAGAGTTACTTTAACGGTCTTATCGTCAACACTCTGGAATGGTCTGCCTATATCTATTGAGAGCTCTCCAAGTTGCTTCACGGTATCATCATCAACAAAATTTGCGTTCTCCTCAGCTGTGCAATAGAATATAATCCTCATTACTGTCTATCTGGCTCTAACAGGACAATAGGTTTTCACATGCACTTCATCTATTCCTACTGCTTCGCCTTTCCTGACGAAAGCGTCGAAGACATCCTCACAGAAGTCTTCGCCTTCTATGACTACTTTCTTCTCCTCTGGATGGCGAGTTGGGTCAAAGGTGGTCAAAGTATTGATACCGTAAGTCATCTTTGATATTCTTGATGTGATTGATCTGGGATTTAGACCAAACATGCAAGCTCCTCTAATAACTGAGACCTGTGGCCTTCTTGGTACAAGTACATTGATATTAAATCCTTCCTCAAAGTTCTTTTTAATTTCTGATTTGAGGAAAGGGCTTTCAGAGAAACCACCAACCATGAAAATGAAGTTTACTGGGGAGACCTTTTATTCTGCTTACTCAATCAATTGCTTTACCTTTGATTTAATATTATCGAAAAGAGGCTTGAAGAAGGAATTCATAAGAGGAGCAGGGAGGTCTATTGAACTCGCACCTCTCTACTTTATATGTAGCTATGCATCGAATTTTTTATTATGTTCTTTGACTAATTCCCCAAGTCTAGTGGCTGATAGTTCTTCACCCAAATAACTTAATTAGAGTCTAGATCGCTCTTCAACTCCTGGGTTAAATTTTCTCTTTAACATCTCAAAATGCTTCAGAATATCAAGTCTGGCCATAGCATTTTGTCTATATACTGCGTAAAGTTCCTCGCCAAAGAAGTCAGCTAGGAACTGTTCGAAGTAGAGATCAACATACTTACTTCCCCATTCGCATCCACCACTAGATGGAAGTAGTTCTTCGCATAAAAACTTTTCATCAGGGTTGCTTGTTAATTTATGAATAGTGATATCAACTGTGCCACCACCACAATCTAATACCATAACTGTGGTTCCTTTAATCATCTGATTTTTCAGTGAATCTTCGCTATCTTCTCTGCATTAAATACTAGCACCCTCTGGCTCTAGACATAACAAAAGATTTGGAGCATTAAGGTCTTCAATAATTCCTGCTTAAATGGCTGCTTTTCTCATAAAGTGTTTATGCTCTTCACTCCATAAGGCAGGAACAGTAAGTACCCATCTGATTTTGGTGCTTACAACTTTACCAACCTACTCCTATAACTTCTCCAAAGCCTTTTCAGAGATGTATCTCAAACTTTCTGCTATCACTCTCATAAGAGGGAGGTCTCTGTTGTCAACTGACTTAGCATTGTGGTCCATATGAAGAAGATGCATCTTATATGTTTGGAATAGCATTGCTGTTTCCTCGTCATCTAGCATCTCTGCATATCTCTAAAGAGCATGTTGACCAAAAGCAATGAAATTTCCATTGTCATCAAAGAGAATTGCAGTTGAAGTCTTTTGATCATCAGAGTCATCGCATGGATTGAAAACTTCAATTCTCGGCTTTTATCCTGGTTCAACTATCCTAGGAGCAATACCATATCTACATATCAAGGGGTTAATGCATGTAATAATGATGAATGAGCAATTTTCTAAGATATACTTACCCTGAAGCACCTGTTCCAAAGTCAATTGCTATAACGTGTGTAAACGCTGAGTCTTCTTTTAAAAATGCCATTTGTGTTTTGAAAGAAAATATAGAATTAATTTGAATTGAATTAAAGGGTTTTCAAATTTCAATTATTAAAAAATATTCGGTAAGAAGAAAGAATTTAAATAAAAATGTTGATGTAAGTCTCATAATATTTTTTCAGACAAATAATAATTATCCGCTTTTAGAGGACAAACTTTGGGTTCAGGAAGCTCATCCTCAACTAGATAAGACAGTAGTCCCATGTATAACTAGCGAGCATCGTCTGGTTAGGATTCATATAAATCCTCAACATTGACGATAGGCTAGTCATCATCCTCATAGTCTCAGCAGCAGCAATAGCAATAAGAAGTTCTCTGTAATTTGAGCAATTAGAACAAGATTTCAGATGAGAATGCGCCGCAGTATATGATCCCAAGCTCGATCACTTCAATGAGCATGACAGAGTTGCAGAAGGAACTTGTAGAGACCAAGGACAAACTGAAAGTTATTACTCAAAAGTTCGTGAATGTACGCAAGGAAAGAGATTAATTCAAGCAAGAAAATAAAGACTTATAAGAAGAGGTGCTGCAACTGCAATCAAGCATCAGATAAATGGTTCCCTGTTTCTCCAATACATCCTCAGCATTTCCAATGCAAAACGAGATGGCAAACATCGTATCAGAGTTCTACAAGTGTGATTGCTAAGATGTTTTCTTCGACCTATTGTGCCCTGAACTAAATTTAGATGGAGTAATATATTTCTTCCAAAACACGATACCCGTAGTAATTGAAGTCATTGAAAAGCACTTTCAGCCAGTTGAGCATGTCCTTAAAAAAGTGACTAATATGCAACAACTAGACGGTCCTATTGTAAATGTACTCAGGAAGACTTATCAATCAAATTGGAGAACAATTTATTAGAGCTGTTTGCCCTAGACTGTGAATGAGTAAATTATGTCAGCAGTTCAGAAGTCTCTAAGCATCGGAGACGAATAAAAACATATAAATTAAGCGATTACTGACTTTATCAAGAAAATTGGAGAGGTAGCCTTCTAAATGCTAGTAAGTGATCCACCTATCGTGTTCGATATCAAGAGAATTGGTGAAAAAGTGCAATTTAATTCTTTTAAGTACGATTCTATGGATGGCTTTATCAAGGGAAATGAAGAGTGTTTAATAATACTTCCCTCTGTCCATAAATATAACTAAGGAGGAGGACTTGGTGAGGTAGTCATCAAAGCTAACGTCCTGCCTCTCAGCTATGAATTCCCTTGATCATAAAAGTTCACTTTAGATCATACTGATACTGAGTTAGACCAATATTATATGCGCTAATTAATCTATATTTGTATAATTTATTTCTAAATCTAGATTTCATATAATTCATATCATGATGGGGTTTTGGGGTTTTGGGGTTTTGGGGTTTTGGGG